ATTGTACTTTGTGGGCGAAACGGAGCAGGCAATTGCTTACAGTAATGCTCCACAAACAGTCGTGGATTGAGTGACCACATTTTGTGTTCAGTTATTTTGAAGGATGATTACCCCCAGGAATCAATCCACTGGGCGTTAGGTTCAGGAGGGCTGGGGGGTGGCAGAGTGGTGATCGAAGATGTGGTAGAAGAGCAGGGGATTGGAGGCAAAGGAGGTGTTATTTTGGTTTATAAATTTTTTGAATTTAGACAAGTAAGATTGATATTTATTTTACATTGATTTGGATACCCTTAAGCATGATGATGGGGGTCTGTTCAGTGTGCACCTTGGTTCTCCTGCAATTTAATCAGCTAAAGCCACATAACTTGCCATTGAGCGCTCTTAAGCGCTCTGAGGCTATCCTGCATGTTTGTCCAATGAGACCCATCCTAGGGCTCCAGCTTACTGGGTTAACAGGAGCTTCCCATTGTGTTAATCTATTTAAGTTCTTCTGCAGTTTCTTGACATTCTCCTCACTATTGACTACACCTCCTAATTCCATTATATATAACAATAATCCTTGCATTTGATATAATGCCTTATCACTTTGTCGAGACATCTCAAAGCCCTTCACAAGATATATTGCATAGTGGAGTGACTGCGAGAGAAATCAGCAGCCAATTTTCCACAGCGATGTCCCACACACTGTACTGGTTTGAATGACCAAATTTTAAAATTTATTTATTTATTTTGAGGGATTATTACCCTCAGAAAGTGATCCACTAATCGACGAACAACCAGGTTCCTACTTACAGCGAGGTAAACAGCGGCATGTGGAGAAAGGAAACATGCCTAAAGGTTTTACCCCCGCCTGGGAATCAAACCTGGGATCCTCTTGCTTGTGAGTACGCTAACCGCTACGTTACGAGGCTCCGTATCGTAAACTTTGTGGATGAAAAGTAAATTAGAGAGTTTTCATGTTGTTTTGCTTCTTCACTTAACTTTTCCAATATGCTGCTGTTTGTGTTGAGCCTCTTTATTTGTTTCTATCCAGTCACATTGATTTTGATATGCTTTCTATGTGGATCCCTATGACTCGCCAGCAAAGCAGAGCTACAGTTTGTAAAGGATTTCTCCTGTTCATGGTCTGTGATAGGAGGTCAATATTTTCTGACCAGTTAACGTAACCTTGGTGTGACACAATGTTTGACAGGGAAGAACTACGTATGCTCTCATACACGCTTTCTTTACATTGAGGCTTGACTATGCTTGTCAGCCTCACCAACTCCTACCTCCATAGGCTGCAGATTATCCAGAACTCTGCAGCTCGTGTCCTCTCCCACTCCAGGTTCCGTGACCCTATCACCTCCATCCTCACCCGACTCCACTGGCTTCCCATCACACAGAGGATATAGTTCAAGATCCTGGTCCTCACCTTCAAAGCCCTCCATGGTCTTGTTACCCCCTAGCTCTGCGACCTCCTAACCCCCTACCATCCTGCGCCCTCCCTTCACTCAGCAGGCTCCGGCCTGCTTCACATCCCCTGCCTCGCTTGCCCCACCATTGGCGGGTGGGCCTTCTTCCATTCTGCCCCCACCCTCTGAAACTCCATCCTGCAGTCCCTCTGCCTCGCCCCCTCCCCTGCCTCATTCAAGACCCATCTCAAGACCCTTGTCTCCGACCGTGATTTCGATCACCTTGCTTCCCCACTGCAGCCTCCACCCTCCCAGATCCTGACCCCCAGCTCGGGTTGACTATCCAACACCTTGGGACGTCCTCCTGACGTGACGCCAGAACAATAACAACAACACTGAAACAGCTTGGCCTAGTTGACCGAACTCTTGGGTCAGGGTCAGAGGGTTTTGCGTGATTTTGAGTTTACAAAGTTGGGTAACCCTTCAACAACAACAAATTGCATTTATATAACAACTTTCTCATTGGTGTAAAAAAAGTGCAATTTGTCATAAAAAATTGTTGTTGTAGCGGATTGGGCTGAATAGATTTTTTTAAAATTCCGCATATAGACTCCCGCTGGCCCAACTCTCCCCGCCTCACCATCCTGGCTGGCTTTCAGTGGCCAGGGATATTAACTTTGACTCAGTTTGAAACCTGTGAGCAGGAGGTAGCTTTATTTTCTATCTTCTGCTCTTGGGATTCAAATAAATACAATGCCGGTACTGGCATTTACTGGCACTGAAGAAAGCTGATGGGGAGAGGCCCATCAAAGTGGTGTTTTTTTCCTGTTGAGTTGTGTTCGGAGATAGATTATTGTTTAAAATATTGTTTTAGTTAAGTTAGAATGGTTATGCTTGTTACCTGACCCGGAATGACAATGATTTGGTCACTCAATCCACAACTGTTTTTGGGACACTTCTGTGCGTAATTACTGCCATGTTTCACCCACAAAATACAGTCAATTCACTTTACAGCATATTCTGTGAAGTGCTTTTGAGACTTCTCAATATGATAAGGCGCTATATCAAATGTAAGGTTGATTATTATTATTAATTGGTTGTTTTGATCAGGTGAAGGTTACTTATGCTTGGTAGTCAATATCAAAGTGACTTAGAACTATAAGCCTAATTAAATTGAGCTGAACTGTAGACTGTATATCTAAGCGTCAGTAAAGTATGTTACGGGGTAGTTGGTATAAGTCTAGTTGAAATGTCATGGGAAAATATCAGTATGTTGGGCTTGAAGAGTTAAATTGGTTCAGAAGAAAGAAGTGAATTTATTGCAGCTCCCGCTGTCTTGTTAATTGTTGATAAAACCATCCTGTATTATTTTATTCAGAATCATTCCATGGGTACCGAAGGATGGCCCAGCTGTTTAACAGCTCTCAGGTGGGTGAGAACATACAGATTTGCACGGACTGTTTCAGTGTTAAAAAAAAAGGACAACGATAAAAGAGGTGCAGCAAAGCCAGTGGTGGCCAACCTGTGGCCTGTGGGCCGAAAGTGCCCCCTCCTCTCCCCAAACATTCAAGTGAGTCCGGGTAAGTCCGTGTTCCATCGGTAATGATTTTTCAGTTTTCTTCCTGATTTACGTCATGTGACTGACCTCGACTGTTCAAGGTTCCAGTAACATCGGAAGAAAATAAAAAGGGATGAACAGACTACAAAATACGACAATACAACTGCCGCACAACTGCAAGAGATCCAACGCCTGCTATTATCAGCGTTCCAGAGACAAGAGAAATGAAAAGCAAGAGATGTTTGCCTTTCTAAAGCAGTTTTAGCGTATTTTCTTTTTCTGTCATGGGTGTAGTTTTTCATGAGGAAAGTGAAATAAATGTTTATACTAATAAATATATTTGTCTTTACTGCCTTATTAAGTACACAAACTGTTGGACATAAAATACAAGTGACTTTGGATCCTCTGTTCACAGGTTCTGAATTAATTTTTTTTGGCTAAACAGAATAAGCTGGTCTTTTGTGGCTTCGCCTTTTGTACCAGACTTCAACAGAGTGGTTAACTCCACTACTGGCTATACCTTCGATCCCAGTATATTCGCGCAATCTATTCCCACTCTCCTGCTCACTCCTGAACTTTAATATTCTTCGTTTTCAAGCATCCCTTTTCAAAACACATTTTGAAAGAACAGAGCAAAGAGCAAATTGAAAGAGCAAATTCATGATATCCGCATGTCGACACTTACATTTTTAAATCTTAAAGCATAGGTATCCAATGAAATGCTGTTCATTCCTCTTATCCTTTCTTATCTCTCACCATGAAACATTAACTTCTGTCCAAATGTCTTCTTTATCTTGAAAGATTATGAATGCCTCAGCTGCACCACGAATAGAATAGTAATTGGATTGAGGTACAGATCAGCCATGATCTAATAGAATGGTGGAAAGGCTTGAGGGGCTGAATGGCTGTTCCTATGTTTCTACACATGGTTACACCTACAATTCCCCGACGGCGTGTCTCCAACTCACGCTATTCCCCTGCAACTAGCTATAGATTTGATCCAACACCAATTCCAAGGGCCAGTACCCACTGATGTCATCCAATGATGCTGTCATGACCGTTGCACTGAAAAGGCACGAGGGACCACTGGCTAACATCACGCGAAGGATAGCAACAACAATTTGCATTTATATAGCTGCCATCGCGCAGGGCAGGGTCCCGGAGAGCCTCCATCTCCCCGCAGCACTGCACTGGAACGTCAGCCGAGAGACTGTGAGCTCAAAGTCCCGATGTGGGACTTTGGCTCTGGAACTCCATCCCCCAGTGCCTTCGCCGCCTCCTCCCTTTCTTCCTTCAAGGCCGGTCTCAAGACCTTTCTCCTTGACCGTGCCTTCAGCTCCCCTCTCGACTCTCTACCCCCTCCTCGCTCCCTCCCTTCCCTCCCCTCACCCTGACCATTTCCCCCCAATGCTCGGGTCCCGACCCAACCGTACAGCGCCTCGGGACGTCCTCCTGACGTGAAAGGCGCTCTATAAATGGAAACTTGTTGTTGTTGTTGTTGTTGAACCCACGATCTTGGCGAGGACTCGGGAGTGCTCCCGACCGAGCCGGACTGGCACCCACGGGCGCTACCGCAGCCCTGCAGAAGGTCTCAAGGTACTGAGGGCACGAGACGTAAATGTTTGTCCTGTATTTGAGGAAAGTTGGGTGACCGCACATCCCGGTGTCGTCGAGGCAGTGGCCGAACTTGACGCAGCGCCTCAGGCGCGTCTTCCGGACGTGTGGAGGCGCTTTCGCGGGAACAGGTGCGCCGCGAAGTGAACGGGCGGCGGGTTTTCTGGGCGAGAGGGGGCGGGCACCGGCCCCGCGGGCCCGGGGGTGAGGGAGCGGAGGCCAACCGGAGGTCGAGTGGGGCCCCAAACAAATGAAGGCCTCGCCCGTGAGCAGCAGTTGGGAACAGCCTGACAAGAGGTGAAAGGTGAGGAGGTGACACCCGGGCAGTGGGGTCACAGGCGGAACCTCACCCCGCGGCTGGTGCTTCCCGGGGGGAAGGTGTTCCGGGGCGGACGCGCTCTCCCCCCTCCTCCCCCCCCCCCCCCCCCGTGTGCAGCCGGAGTGCGGCTCCGGGTGGTGCGCGCGGGAAAGATGCTCAGGGCCGCGGGGTCCCGGGCTCAGCGCGGGGCCGCCGCCGCCCTCCAGGCCGCCGCACACCGCCTGCCAACCACTGCCAGGCCCCGGCCCGGGCCCGGGCCCGGCAACAGGTGAGAGATACACACACACACACACAGCGTTATATACAACACATATACACATATATATACACACACGGTACCTCCAACCGAGCAGTGCGACAACAACAACAAAATTATATTTTATAGAGCGCCCTTCACGTCGGGAGGACGTCCCAAAGCGCTGGACAGTCAGGGGGTCAGGGCCCCGAGCGTGGGGGAGGGGTGGGGGGGAGGGGAGAGAGGGTGGGAGGGAGGGAGACCCAACGGCACGACCGAAGAGGAGGGTCTTGAGACCGGCCTTGAAGGAGGCCCTCGCGGGAGGCAGCGAGGCCAAGGGACCGTGGGGTGGAGTTGCAGAGTGTGGGGGCAGAGGGGCTGAAGGCCCGGCCGCCGCCGACGGTCGGGCGGGTCGGGCGGGAGACTTGGAGCAGACCGGAGCCCCGATGAGCGGAGGGAGCGGACAGGTCGGGAGGGAGTCAGAAGGTCACCCCCAGCGCTGCATTAGAGTGTCAAATCTGGACAGTGTGACTCCCAGTCCCTGATGTGGGGCTTCAACCCACAACCTTCTGACTTTGGGGTGAGAGTGCTATCACTGAGCCGAGCTGAGCTATCACTAAGTCCACACTAATACAGAGATTCATATTTTATATATATATATATATGTGTGTATTGTAGCTCAGTGGAGTCCTGCGGCTCAGTGATTAGAGCTTTTTCCCAACATTTCCTTCCATTATTTGCAAAGATTATTATTGTATTTCATTAAATAAGAGTAACACATACAGCTCCTTTCACATCTGAAAGCACTTCCCAGGGACCAACCAGGTTAAAAAACAACAGGGATGGGAAGGAGATGGCTGCGGGAGTCAATTTTTAGAAAGATTTTGAACATCCACTTTCCTCCATTTTCCAGCTAAAATATAGTATTTCATAGTATCCTATGAAATCTAGGAGCTTCCCCACCCCCCCCTTTCTTTACTCCTAAACCCTGTACCTTTGAAACGAAAGCTAATTAAAGCAGTTCCATTTGTACTTTGTTTAAAAAAGATTGTAGTTATGCCCAGGGAAAGGAGAACACTTGAGAAAAGGAGGAAATAATGCTCTTAATTAGCTAATGCTGTCACGGTTATATTCTGTGTTGCAGGACTTGCCAGAGATGCATCTTCACTGGCTCTGCTGTGCTCAAGGATGGTGATGAATCCAAATCTCCCGCTGCCCCCTCACTGCAGACAGAGACGGAAGAGGAGAAGAAAAAGTCAGCATCGGGGAAGGCCAATTTGTTGAACCTAATCAGCGGCATGAAAGTGGAAATGAGCACCAAGAAAAGGTTCCAGGCCCTCAGAATGCAAAAAGAAAAAGAGCAAACGAAAAATCGGGCAGGGAGCATGGAGAGTGCAACCAGCATGTTTCAGAAAGCAACTGAGGAAATCAGAAGTCAAAGGTACAGGTTGTTTGTTTACCTGAGAGTCAGAACTTCACTACAAGCAAAACCTCGTAAATCCAAGCACGTTAATATATGAGCAAATGGGTGTGACTGCGTCAGGGCTGGATTTTGTGTGTTCAGTTATCTCTCAGCAGGAATCATGTGCTCTTCTCTTTGGACAATTTCGGCCAATGTTAAAATTTTAGAAATGTTTGTTGTATATAAATAACAGTGGAGCAAATGAAACATGTTTATATGTCTGAAGAAATTAAAGGGAACGGTAAGTTCTGCACATTCAGAATGGAGATCTACCTCAGTTTAATAATCATATAATCCTTGCACTTAATACGGTGCCTTATCGCATTGTTTAGACTGTTGACCAGGACACCCGGAGAAACTCCCTTTAATCAGCATCTGAAAGAGAAAGATTGGCTGAGTGGACCAACTGGGATTCAAAGCCTGAATCTTCTAGCCTCAAGTTAATTTTTACATTTATATGCAGGATAGTGTTTTGGAGGTCTGCATTGTGGCGGATGGGGTAGAGTACCGAGTGAGGGAAAGGTGAGGAGGTGACCAAATACGCGGTGCAAGATAAGTCTTAAGAAGGGATTTAAAGATAGATAAATAGTAATAATAATCCTTGCGCTTTTCATGTCTTCTAGACGTCTCAAAGCGCTTCACAGAATATACTGTAAAGTGAATTGACCGTATATTTGTGGGCAAAACGTGGCAGCCAATTGCGCACAGCAATGTCCTACAAACAGTCATGATTGAAAATGACCAATTTATTATTGTTTTTTTGGAGGGATTACTATTAGGCGTGTGGAGTAAGGAAACTTGCCCAAGGTTTCGCCCTGCCTGGAGTTTTAAATTTAATATTACATATTAAATTAAGATGAATAATTTCCTCCTTAGAACAACATGTCTTCTAGACGTCTCAAAGTGCTTCACAGAATATACTGTAAAGTGAACTGACTGTATATTCTGTGGGCGAAATGGAGGAGATATTAGATAATTCAAGATGTTAAATATTTTTGGCTCGCCTAAAATATCCAAATGTTTAATTTAAAATATGTGCATATTCAATACAAGAGCCCCAAACTAAATCCTTTCATGTATTATTGATGCTGGAAGTCTCTCTCCCCCACCTCCCAACCTTTTTAAAAAAAACAAATATATTTTCACTAAACAACTTTTAACTGAAAGTCTCCTTTTTTTTTGATAGCGAGGAGACACTAAATCCAGACCTTGTTGCAGCTGCCTCAGCAGTTGCATCTTCAATGCCGTTTAATAAGAATCAGATTGAGTCAGAACTGCTTACACAGCTCAGGAAGCACGAATCAGTGACTGAAGCCCAGAGAAGTGGAGATACCAGCAACATTGGGTAAGTCATGGTGAGGTGGTGAGATAATATCAGACTGATATTGGTTTCATCTGGAATGCACTGTCTGAAAGGGTGGTAAAGGCATATTCAATAATAACTTTCAAAAGGGAATTGGGTATATACTTTGAAAAGGAAAACTTTGTAAGGCTATGGGGAAAGAGCAGGGGAGTGGGACTAATTGGATAGCACTTTCAAAGAGCCAGTACAGACATGATGAGCCAAATGGCTTCCAGTCCTGGAGGATTTTGTGTATAGATCATATAGAATATATATTGTTCTAAATAAATGTTTTATGTGTCCCTTCACCCCAGTTTTTTCCCTTTCTAAAAAGATTTGACTCACGCTAGTGTGCCACCTTGCATAGGTGGCTGTTCTTTGTATCTGAGCTGAAATGTAAGTGTTAGCAGGGTATTTGACTACAGCTGACAACCACTCCTCACCTGGCGCCTGCAACTGGTCATGATATCCAGAACACGCAGGGTGCAGAATTTTGAAAAAATCTAAAATTCAGTCTTAATTTGGAAGCTGATTTACCGCAGCTTTTAAGAAGAATTGTGAAAAGTCAGTTTCAGAATTTAGTGTGAATTAAAGATTATTTTTTCAAGATTCTGTACATTCTTACATTTTAAGACTTATTGGATCGTTGAGTCATCTCAAAGCGCTTCACGGGATACATTGTAAAGTGGATTGTCTGCATTCTGTGGATGAAATGCAACAGCCAGTTGTGCACAACAATGTCCCACAAATAGCCATGGAGTGAGTGAACAATTTTATTATTTGGGGATTGTTGGCTAGGACACTGGGAGAAACTCCCTTCTCTTTTTGAATAGTCTAATCATCCAAAGGACGGATCAGGCTAAACCAGCAGAGAATTTCGGACTTAAATTTCTTCCCACTCAGTTCCCAGTAACACTGCAAGCCATAGTCCTAAAGGGTAGGGTAGTTCTAGTTGGACAAGCAGCAGGAAAGCTTGAAGGATGGCAAGTTATGTGGTTTTAGCTGGTTAGACTCCAAGCCTTGGCTCTTTCCAACCTGTGCCTAATACTTTCCAGAATTAGGTAAGCAGAATCCATCCCTTCAGGAAGAGTTTGCATTCTATTCCTATAAATATCTCTGGAATTTCCATGTTTAGGTGGGAGGCATGGAATTCTGTTTTTTGAATCTTCTTAAGCACTGTGATAGGTTTCTGTGTCAGACAGCTGGCTGGCCAAAAAAAGTGTAAATGTCCTGTGTAGAGTTTATTTTTAATTCTGGGTTTTTATTTATTTTCCTTTCCATCTCCGAATACCAAGGGTGAAACTGAGGATCTGCTCCTAAATTTCAGTGAACTCACGTGAACTGGCCACCAGATGGTGTGTGAGAATTGTTGGAGGGCTTTTCTGTAAATTAAATCTCTTCTATGTGACAAAGTACATAGCACAGCTGATACCAGATACTGTTTAGAAACTTGCAGTCCATGATTCAACGACACCAAGTTGCACTTATATAGCGCCCTTCATGCAGGGTAGAGTTTCACATGGTAGCGCTTAACAGTGGCGGAGCCCAACGCTGAGCCGGGGGTAGGGAGGACGTGACTGTAAGCATGGTCGAAGAGGAAGGTCTTTAGGCCTGATATGAAAAAGGGGAAGGAAGAGGCAAGGTGGAGGGATTGAGGGAGACAGTTCCAAAGTTTCGGGATGTAGTGGCTGAAGGCATGGCCGCCTATGATAGCGCAGAGCGGATGAGGGGCATTCAGGAGGCCGGAGCCAGCTGAGCAGAAACAGGGGGTGTTGGAGTGGGGAGTTAACAGGTCAGAAATGCTTCTGAGATTCATGGAGATACACAGGACGATTCAGAAATGCAAAATTAAAAATGAAAGTAAAAGAAAAATTAAAGTAAATGATGATCTTGCATTGATTTTTTTAACGATGTTAATATATTGTCCCTGAACCACTGTGTATAAATATTTCATTTTGTTTAGCAGCTCAAAGTTTACAGTCTGACTACAGTTTCAAATCTATCATCCACCTATATGCATTCGTGATATCCATTGAACGTGTTTCCACTCTGATATTAGGCACGGCTACATTTTAGTAACAGCAATAATGGATGGTTGAATTAATAATAATAGTAATCCTTGCGTTTGATATAGCGCCTTATCATGTCTTCGAGATGCCTCAAAGCGCTTCATAGAATATACTGCAAAGTGAATTGACTGTATATTTTGTGGGCGAAACGTGCCAACCAATTGCGCATAGCAGTGTCCCACAAAACAGTCGTGAATTGAATGACACAATTTTTTTTGAAGGGTTTATTACCCTCAGAAAAGCAATCCACCAATTGACTAACATCCTACTTACAGCTAGGTAAACAGAGGCGTGTGGACTAAGGAAACTTGCCCAACGTTTTGCCCTGCCGGGAATCAAAACAAAGTCCTCTCGTTTGCGAGACAAGTGCTCTAACCACTAAGCTACAGGACTCCAGAATTACAGCAGAGTGAAAATTGTTGGGCATGCTACCCTGTGTGAGGGGCGTTATATAAATGCAATTGTTGTTAGGCAGCGCAGATGACAGTGCTAAAATATGGGATTGATGTACAGAACCTTTTATACCTCCTCCACACTGTTCCACATTAAACCTATTTTTACTTTCATACTGAGATCTTTAAGTAGGTGAACGTGGTTCAAATTACACATCATAAAAAAGTTGTTTTGCTGCTCTCATCACACTCCCTCTATCCCACCACCAGTAATCGGGCTTTAAACCAATGGTCATTCTCGAAACCTCTCTCAAAATCCTTGGACCTTTTCTCCCTGACCTTGACACCGCTTGTGGTCATCATCTCAAACTCCTACCTCCTTCCCACCCTGCTTATCTCATCCTCTGCTTCACCCTGCTCCATGATTCCTTATGTCTTTTGTGAGACATTATCCAATGTGAAAGGCACTATACAAGTTCAAGTTGTTTCAAGAAATCAGCTAAGCATTCTGTAACTAGACCTCTGTACTCTGTAGTGAAGTTAGCAGAACAGGTGACAGTCTGCATGGATTTTATTTTAACTATGGATGTCAGCAGATAGGAAGCTGCCACTGTGATGAACTGAAAGTTCTGATGTTACCTTGAATAACAGCCTCAAAATTTTTGCAAACGTTTTGCTTTTCAAAAGCGAAATCCCCAATCACAAAAGGGGTATTGAATGTTTTAATTTCACAGCTGGATCTGGTTCAATCATTAACTCAAGCAAGTTGTTACCCCCTTGAATCAGCTTGGCTGAAAAAAGTGAACTTGTTTGTCTGAAAACTGATGGAGGTCAAGGCTAAGTAAAACTCACATAAATCTGATCTGTACAAATCGTACAATCACCTAAATTGTGCATCTGCCCAAGTCCCATTGAATTTCCAAGGTGATAGGTGCTATAATAATAATAATCCTTGCATTTGGTGTAGCACCTTTCAAAGCGCTGAACAGGATGCATTGCAAAGTGTAGTGACTGTGTGCCTTGCGGGTGAAAGCTCAGACAATTTACGCATTACACAAGCAGCCATGAAGTTAACGAAATTTGGGGGATTGTTGGCTATTTTTCAATTCAATTTGTTCTAATAAACCTGAATGGGTGCTTTAAACGCTCATCAACAACTTCTAAAGAGTAGAATTTATTCTTCGAAGTCAGCTATCTATAATCCTACTCAGGTGATATTTTTAGTAATTCGGCCAGTCTCTTATTTTTACAAAAAGATGGGGCATATTTATATGGTGGTTATTTATATTTTTCTATTTATATTTACCCTACAGAAAATATAAATAGACAAATTTCTTACCTCGCCATTTCTAAAAGTTCCTAAAGTTCAATGTGACCACTGTTAATTTGAGGAGAAAATTCGGATAAAAAAATAGACCTTGTTGATGTTTGTAAAATAATTGATTGAGATGATGGTAATTATAACACAGCATTTCTTGCTGTGCTTCCTTGACACAGCATTGCTGTTAATACTGGACAGATCACGAGATGCGTGTTTAGTTACGGAGCTTTCAAGATAGTTTATTTTTAGAAAACTCACTGAGACCTTGGTTAAAAACAAATCCATTAAAACTTCTACTCTAGCCAGCTGGCCCTTAAGAAACTAACTAAGTAACTGAAGAAGATATCTGAACATCTCCAGAATGTTATTTTAAATTAAGTTCTACAATTATTGTCTCACTGTGTATTTGTGGGCAGTCACGGCAGCCAATTTATACACAGCAGATCCCACAAACCTCCATGATACCACAACAACAAGATTATATTTGTATAGTGCCTTTCATGTCGGGAGGACGTCGCAAGGCGCTGGACATTGTACAGCATTTCAGACCTGAGCTGGGGTCAGAGGGGAGAAGGGAAGGGAAGGGGGGTGACCAATGGCATGGTCGAAGATGTTTTGAGGCGGGATTTGAAGGAGGCTAAGGAGGGGGCGAGGCGGAGTGATTGTGGGATGGAATTCCAGAGGTTGAGGCTGAAGGCTCTCCCGTCAGTGGTGGGGTGGGCGGGTGGGTCAGGGGACGTGGAGCAGGCCGGCTGAGCGGATGGAGCAGGCGAGTTGGTAGGGGGTTAGGAGGTCACGGCGAGACCATTGAGGGCTTTGTAGGTGAGGACCGGGATTTTGAACTGGATCCTCTGAAGGATAGGGAGCCATTGGAGTCGGGCGAGAATGGGGGAGATGAGGAGAGAGGTGGGGATGGGATCGAGGGAGCAAGTGGTGGGTTTGAGTTTGCGAACAATCGGGGAGAGGAAGGGAGAGATAGGGTCGAAGGAGTATGGGGGGGATGGGTGGGGGTTGGGTCATGAGGGAGAGGTGATATGGGGGTGGCTGTGGACGGGACAGAGGTGGCTGAACGTATCCCCTCGATTTTGGTTTCGAGGAAATCCAGCATCTCCTCACAGTTGTAGTTTGAGGAGAGGATGGGTGTGGCGTGGCAAGGTGGACGGAGGAGACGGCTTGTGGTGGAAAAGAGAAGCCGGGGTTTGTCCTTTGCCTCCAAGATAGTAGAAGGAGTAGAAGGAGGATTTGGCGGAGGCAAGAGTGCAGCGGTAGATCTTGTGTGGTGAAGCCAGATCTGCCAATGGACCGTTAGTTTGGAATTGGTCCAGGCTCGTTCGGGCACTTGTGCAACAACAACTTGCATTTATATAACACCCTTCACGTGGAGTAGCATCAATGTGGAGTCTGACCCCGACCAGTTTTATCTGGGGGATAGTTGTCCAGGACACTGTGAGAAACTCCCTTCTCTTTTCGACTAATGTCTTGGGATTTTTAACGTGAACCTGATCAGGCAGACAGGACCTCGGTTTAATGTCTCCCCCGAAGGACAGCATTGCTCACAGTATCAGCCTAGGCAGTAACCTCAAATTCCTAGACTATTGGGAGTTGTGTAGATGGTTTATCAGCTTGCGTTGTCAGCTTTAGCTTGTGTATGGGTGGGAGTGGGAGTGCTATCGACTATAGATTGTGCATGGGGTTACCTGTAGAGTTTGCATATGGAGAGGTGAGTATCAGCAGTATGTTGTGTATGAGGGAGTTATCCGTTTCTTATGTACAGCGGTTATCAGCCTGCAAAGTAGGGGGTTATCATAGGGTGGTTTGGAGGGGATGTAGGCGAGATTAGCAACCATAGCTTGGGAATGGTTTGCTGTCTGCCACAGTTTGGGTTAACAATCTGTGAACATCCAGCAGCAGAAAGAAATGGAGGACAGCACAAACGAATAGCCACAATACAGTTTGACAATTTTTCTGCCCTTTTTTTGTTATTTCAAATTGCTACCAATTTTCTGCCTGCATGGTTTGTAGAGGTAATAGATAACTGTAGAGTTTCATTTGAACTGTGATATGAAGTATCTGTTTCAGGTGATTTTTGTTGCTGAGGATGATGGAAGGTTGCGATAACGTGGGGACTCTTGCTAGTGAAAAGAGCTAAGCCTTAATGGTCAGAACGTTGAGGTCATTGATCATGGTCCATTAACAACACCAAACTAGAAATCACCATATATATTGGATGTGTTAGATGCGCCTGGCTACTAAAGAAGAGTCCTCTAGCTCAGTGGTTAGAGCACTCGCTTTGCAAGCGAGAGACCTGAGTTCAATTCCCGGCAGAGGGCGAAACCTTGGGCAAGTTTCCTTACTCCACACAGAGCCTAATAATAATCCCTCCAAAAACCCAAAACTATAATAAATTGGTCATTTTCAATCTACGACTGTTTGTGGGACATTGCTGTGCGCAATTGGCTGCCGCGTTCGCCCACAAATATACAGTCAATTCACTTTACAGTGTGTTCTGTGAAACGCTTTGGGACGTCCTCCTGACGTGAAAAGCGCTATATCAAATGCAAGGATTATTTATTATTATAAGATACCGCATTGTAACTGTTTTCCGCAAATGTGTTGCGATTTGATTGCAATACCAAATGTCTTTCTACTTTGATAACTATCCATCTTAGAAGCCTCTCGACTGCCAATGTCATGCCACATCATTTCAAGCGTGAAGATTGGGAGACGCCGCACTTAATGTGTTCTAGTGAGAACATATGGCTCAGGATGTAATTTAGTATTAAGTTAAAGGCAAAAAATCCTTTCAGCTCACAAAGTCCATCTCACTGTAGATCTCAACAAACACAACAAACACAATCGATCTCGGATAAAACAGAATCTAGTGACTCGAGCTGCTGTTAGAGACCCCAACCTTCCAACATCCTCAGCAGCAAAAATCACCTAAAACTGTTAGAGACTAAATCAGGAATTACATTTTTGGTTGTTCCAACAATTCTCTCTCTCCCGATCCCCCAAATTGATCTTGTGGTTTCAAATCATTCTTATGTGTGTCAGGCTGGCTCAGTTGGTATGGTCTATAGTCCACTCCTTTTGAAACACATTCAGTCGATTGGTACAAACAAGGTTTACAGCCACTTTGTGTGGTGGTACGCAGTTTAAGAATGTGTACTGAAATTCAATCCAGCTTTCAGAGCAGGTCAAGACGGCAGCCATATGTGTAACTCTGTTAAACATGATGATGGGTTTCCACACGCGTCAGAGACCCAGTTGAACAAAATAAAAGAATATCTTGTTTGATTTTTCTGTTCAATTTTTAAAGTTTGAGAGCTCAAGGAATACTGTAAAAAGTAAGTCAATTTCCTGAGGTTAGTGTAAAACATAAGCTTATCTCTATCCAATAGTCGGGACATTGCTTGTTTACAATGAATGCATGAGCTTGCTTTCATAAAACCAGAACTGACAAAACTGCATTTACAATGAAGAAATGTAATCCCACCTACTCTGTATTCGGTGATGACATGATCCAGATTGCAAGTCTTTGATGATTTGTGATTTCAGTGACATTATTTCGAGTATGAAGGTTGGGAGACGCCACACTTCACGGGCGGGATCAAGGTCCACTAATCAAATCTGCTTTGATGAAGATGGACAAGGATATGTTGCTGACAAAGGCGTCGCGAGTGAGTTTGATGCAGTCAGGAAGAGGTAAATGTTATTGTTATTATCAAATGCTAGGATTATTATTTATAATATTTGTATTATTTAATATAACATGGTATTAAGTTGCAGGAAAAGACCATTCACCTCAACAAGCAGAACTCTCTTTTTCCCCACAAATGTTTCTGAGCAAAGTGTTTCGTTCAAATTTCAGGTTGCTGTTGTTGGGGTTTAACATACTGTTAGGCAATAATCTTTTATTCTGTGGGAATCGCATCGTAAGGCCGGAACAAAATATTCAATAGAGTCGGAACTCTTTCCCAAAGTCCTTCCTACTTGCCCCCTTCCTCTCTGCCTTCAGAAACTTGGTCTATGTGTATACATTTTGTATAAGGTACTGGATTGAAAGGGCTGTGGGGAAAAGACAGGTAAATGGGACTGAAAGGATTGCTCTTTGAAAGAGCCAGGGAAGATACAATGGGCCAAATGGCCTCCTCCTGTGCTGTAAATGGTTCTAAATATTTGTTGAAAAGCGTGGTATTTAAAATTTCCTGTATTTTCTTTACTCAAGGTGCTATACAAATGCAATGTGTTGTTTCTATTTAGCAGGAATCTGTTTACAGGAAAGAGGATAAATATTTTTCCTGTATCCACTGGTGAACCAGAAACTCTACCACAAATAGGTTTGTTGCAACTCTCTTATTTGTCAATGCTGATCAAACCCATTTTTTAACGTGAAGGAAGTCAGCTGATCTGTGCCAGAAGCTTACGGGGGGTGTGGGGGGGCCTTCAAACAGGGTTGCCTTGTATTCACTGACAGGAGTGAGACTCCTAATGTACGTACATGGATACTGCTGTGTTCAGAGGCACAGACTCCTAGTGTAAAAGCAATTCATGCTAACTGTAAATTCACAGGAAAATAATTTTAGGACCATCTGCATTATAAATTGTACGAAATTAAATTTTTAATGCGGTAATGTAATATAATTTATTGTAGGGACTAATGAGCAAGCAAACCAGTAGTTCTAGAAAGACGTGTTATATTTTTTATGGAAGTGGGGGAGAGGAGGAAAAAAAACACAAGTTAACTAAAAAAAGAAATCTTACATTTCATCCCTGGTTGGCCACTTGGAATTGGTTTCAGAGGACTAGATCCTTGCCCCCATTTCCTGACCAAATAAAGCCTGGGCGATGTGCAAAAGTTACAATTGCACATGATCCTATAACTGCTAGGCTCCGGCTGACTTCTGTTTGCTGGGTTTGAGAATGTGCTGAGGTGAACGCGCAGTTAATACAATGCTTCAGTTTAAAACTCGCCTCAATCCTTTGAAATTCCCTGCCTCAGTCCCTCCGCCTTGCCCCCTCTTTACCCATCTTCAGATCGCACCTGAAAACTTTCCTCTTTGACCGTGCCTACGGTCACCTCCCTTTTCTCCCCGCCTTAGCATCAAACTATGCCATTGTTAAGTGCTCCAACATGTTACCCCGTGTGAAGGGCACTATATAAATGCAAGTTGTTGTTGTAGGACATGTAAATATTTTTACATTTGTTCCCCCACCCCGTTATTCATTCTGCTACTTTGTGAATGAAGCGTGTGTATATTTTAATATTTTGATGAAACTGCATCTTACGTTTTTATCTTCACAATTGACAGTGTCTCCTCCCTCACTGTGGGATATTGAGCTAGCTAACCGGTTAGCAGCTGCTACAGAACAATTGCCACGAAATGGGTTTGAAGAGATGATCCAGTGGACAAAGGAAGGAAAACTCTGGCAGTTTCCAATTAACAATGAGGCTGGTACGTGTTCAAAGCATTGCAAAATGGGGTGGTAGAGCGTAGCTCACAAATTTCTCATTCGTTCAATGTGGCAACTCATTTGAGTGGCAAATAGTTTTCGTCCACATTGTGAGTTTAACTTTTTGAATCTGCAATAACTTTTCAGGTCTAGAGCAAGAGGAACGCGTGGAATTCCATGAGCATGTTTTCCTGGAGAAACATTTAGGGGGATTCCCAGATCGAGGAGCGATCCGACATTTTATGGAACTAGTCATCAACGGGCTGTCTAAGAATCCATATATAACAGTTCAGCAGAAGGTGGAACACATAGAATGGTTCTCTCAGTACTTCCAAGACAAAGAAGAGATTTTGAAAGAAAGTGAAGCATCTATTAATTGAAGTTATTTGTTCAACATTCAAAGCTTCAGAGAGTTTGAGACAACCGAGCTTCACACCAGGAATAGTGTTTCCACTTTCAGTTATGCAGAAAAGCCACAGGTTTAAGCTCTTGTCATAATTACCTGATCTACTGTAAGCTGATTTTCAGAACTCTGCTCTTCCCCATGTTTTTAAAATCTCATCTGGGGATATGTACATGAAACGTTCATAATGTACTTCCGGGAAATTAATCTTAAATTGTTAACATTGTTTTGTTGCGTTTGCTTTTTTTTAATTTCACTACAAATTGTTTCTAAAAACTACACTATTGTGGCATATTCACTTTGTGGCTGTTTGCGGGACATTGCTATATGCAGAGTGGCTGCCACGATCACCTATATAAAAAAAGTCAGTACACTTTACAGTGTATGTGTGAAGGTCTTAGAGACATGTCTCTTCTCCCTCGCACCCAACATGAAAAGGCGCTACATCAAATGAGACTATTATGTATTTTCAGAGGTTTAAGCAAATTTATGCAATTTCTATTATAAATTAATATTTTTTATTAATATATTTATAGTACATTAATTTATACAAGTTCAGTCACTATGCCCCTATCCTCTGGAACTCCCTACCTCTCTATCCTTTGACTCCTCTCTGTCTTTAAATCCCACCGTAAAACTTTCTTTGATCCCCTTGCTTCCTTGGTCATCAGCCAACCACTGTGAATTTCTAAGGCTTCTTCTCTAAGGAGAAGGAATGGACCTGCTTTAAATAATTTGGTGAAAGTTTAAAATTATATTTTAAAGGTTCTCTTGTTGGTGTGTGCAGCAATTATAGGCCTCTTCACATCACAGTTTAACCAACAATTCTATTTCTGTTCAAAGATCAGGAATTTGGCCAACAGTCCCCCAAGTAAAACTGATAATTCACATCATGGCTATTTGTTTGTGGAATATTGTTGTACGCAAATTGGCTGCTACATTAGCCTGCAAAATACATACAGTTACAACACTTTGCAGTGTATCCTGTGAAGTGCTTTGGGATGTCCTGACAGGAAAAGTGCTATGTAAGGATTTATTTATATAAGTTAATAAAGAGGCTGGATGCTTCATCCATGTCCTATCAAATAACCTTGAGTCAAACTCTGTAAATATTTAGAAACCTTGGTGGAAATTGAATCCTGAGAGTTATCTATTGCTGAATGGGTGCCTGAATTTAGTTCTTCAAAAAATATTCTAACCTCCATTTGAACCTTTAAATTCATATAACAGAAGGCTTCCTAATTTGCTAAGATTGCAACCAGAAGCGTTACTTGGAATAGGTACTGGTCTCTAATCAGACCTTTGTGGTTGGCATTCCAATCGAACTTTGCTACGGCTGTTATAGTCCCACTCTCCTACCTGCTCCACATAGACTGTAACATTGAATTAGCAGGGAAATTATAAGATAATAATCCTTACATTTGATAGAGCCTTATAATGTCTTTGAGATGCCTCAAAGCGCTTCACAGAATATACTGTAAAGTGAATTGACTGTATATTTTGTGGGCGAAACACGGCAGCCAATTACGCACAGCAGTGTCCCACAAACAGTCGTGGATTGAGTGGCCAAATTATTATTATTAATTTATTTTGAAGGGATTATTACCCCCAAAAAAGCGATCTGCCAAGCGACTAATAACCGGGTTCCTACTTAATCCGAAGTAAACAAGCGTGTGGAGTAAGGAAACTTGCCCAATGTTTTGCCCTGCTTGGGAATCGAACCCAGGTCCTCTCGCTTGTGAGGCAAGTGCTCTAACTCCACGTGCAAGTGGGAGAACCATAAGCACAGACTCATGTCAATTCACTTTGTGATGCTGAGCATTGGTGCTCCTGCTTTTGTCACTACACTGGTCGCATTGGGTTTCCTTGAGGAGTTAATCCATACCAGTGGTGGCCAACCTTTATGGCCAGCCAACAAAATACATTCTCTTGATTGAATACTTCTGATTTATGCCAAATCCTTATCTATATACTCCCTCTGGACGATGTCATCCACAGACATGGGGCAAACTTCTACATGTATGCGGATGACACACAAATCGACTTTGCCTCCTCCAGTACCAACTTCAGTTTCGCTGATGTTCTGTCAGCTTGTCTGGCAGACATCAAGGCCAGGAATTTCTGCTGGAGTTCTGGCCAACAATCCCCCAAATAAAATTAGTCATTCACTTCATGGCTGTTTATGAGACATTGTTGTGTGTAAATTGGCTGCCGTGTTCACTGCAAGATACGCAGTTACACTTAATCCCATAAAGAGATTTGAGAAATCCTCCTTAAGTTTGCATTGCCGATCAAGAGCAGGAAAGCTACGCAGGCATACGAGTATGACCTGATGTGACCAAGGGAACTGAGGCTAAATTTGCACCTTAATTTCATAAAACTGTTGATTTTTCAGTCAGCATTTCAAGGTGGTAGAACAGAATAGCGAGAGAGATAAACAGAATAGGTCAAAGAGGGGTAAGAAGCTCAGTAAAGAAGATAGGGCAGCAGAGAGTAGGGGAAATGGTAAGAAATTAAAATTGCTATATCTGAATGCACAAAGCATTCGGAATAAGATAGATGAATTAAAGGCACAGATAGATACAAACAGGTATGATCCAGTAGTCATTACTGAGACATGGTTACAGGGAGATCTAGGGTGGGAATTAAATATTCTGGAGTTTTCAGCTTATAGGAAGGATAGACAATGTGGAAAACAAGGTGGGGTGGGGGGTAGCCTTGTTAATAAAGGATAGAATAAAAACAGTAGAGAGGAAGGATTTCAAATCAGATAACCAGGATGTAGAGACGGTATGGGTAGAATTACGAAATAACAAGGGGCAGAAAACATTAGTAGAAGTAGTTTATAGACCCCCAAACAGTGATCACAGCATAACGCAGGGTATTAATCAAGAAATTAGAGGAGCGTGTAGCAAAGGTAATACAGTAATAATGGGTGATTTCAATCTTCACATAGATTGGGAAAACCAAATCGGCAAAAGTAGGGTAGAGGAAGAGTTTATAGAATATATGAGAGAGAGCTTTCTGGAGCAGTAGCTGAGGAACCAACGAGGGGACAAGCCATCCTAGACCTTGTTTTGTGTTAATGAAACAGACCTAGTTGGTAATATAGATATTAAGGCTCCTCTAGGGCAGAGTGATCATAACATGATAGAATTTAGTATTAAGTTAGAGAGCAAATCCGAAGCAAGGGTCTTAAATTTAAATAAAGCTAACTTTGCAGGTCTGAGGGAAGAATTAGCTAAAATAGACTGTGGAATTAGATTAATGGATATGACAACAGATTAGCAATGGCAAACGTTTAAAGATGTAGTGCATAATCCTCAGCAGTCACATATTCCCTTGAGGAATAAGAGTACCACAGGGAAAGCAGTTTATCAGTTAGCAGTTAGAGAAAGTATAAAACTAAAAGAAAAGGCCTATAAAACTGCCAAAAAGAGTAGCAAACCTGAGGACTGGGAGTGTTTTAGGGACCAACAAAGGAAAACCAAAAAGCTCATTAAGAGTGAGAAAATGGATTATGAGGGCAAGCTAGCTAGGAACATTAAGACAGATTGTAAGAGTTTTTATAAATATATTAATTGGAAAAGGCTAACAAAAGTAAATGTGGGTCCATTACAGGCAGAAACAGGAGGAATCATAACGGGGGATAAGGATATGGCAGAGTCCCTAAATAAATAGTTTGCTTCTGTCTTCACGTTAGAAGACACAAGAAGTTTACCAGAAATAGAAATGAATCAAGGGGCTGATGATAGGGAGCAACTTAGGGAAATTTACATTAGCAAAGAATTGGTGCGAGGGAAATTGTTGGCATTAAAAAGTGACAAGTCCCCAGGACCTGATGGTTTGCATCCTAGGGTTTTAAAAGAGGCAGCTCATGAGATAGTGAAGGCCTTGTGTCTGATCTTCCAAAATTCTTTGGATTCTGGAACGGTTCCCATTGATTGGAAGATCGCAAACGTCACATCACTAAGAAGGGTGGTAGAGAGAAGATGGGGAACTATAGACCAATTAGTCTGACATCGGTGGTAGGGAAAATTCTGGAAGCCTTAATTAAGGATGTCGTAGTGGGATACTTAGAGGATCACAATATGATTAGACAGAGTCAACATAGCTTTACAAAAGGGAAGTCATGCTTAACAAATCTTTTAGATTTTTTTGAGCACATATCAAGTAGATTAGATAGGGGGGGAATCAGTGGATGTAGTGTATTTAGATTTCCAAAAGGTATTCGATAAGATGCAGCATAAAAGGTTGATCCACAAGATTAGGGCCCATGGAATTAAGGGGAATATATTAGCATGGATTGAAGAATGGCTAACGAGAAGAAAACAAAGAGTAGGGATAAACGAGTCCTTCTCAGATTGGCAGGATGTGACTAGTGGAGTGCCACATGGGGCCTCAACGTGGGCCTCAACTATTTACAATCTACATCAACGATCTAGATAAGGACATCGAACTTAATATATCCAAATTCATGGATGACATTAAACTAGGAGGGAAAGTAAACATTGAGGATGACATTAAAAAAATGCAACGAGATATAGATAGGCAAAGTGAGTGGGCAAATAGGTGGCAGATGAAGTATAATGTAGGGAAGTGTGAAGTCATCCACCAAGGTGGCAAAAACAGTAGAGCAGATTTTTTTTTAGAAGGAAAGAGACTAGGTAGTGTTAGCGTTCAGAGGGATTTGGGTGTCCTTGTACACCAGTCACAAAAAGTTAGTTTGCAGGTACAGCAAGCAATAAGGAAGGCTAATGGTATGTTGGCATTTGGTACAAAAGGGTCAGAATATAAGAGGAGGGAAGTCTTGCTGCAACTGTATAGGGCCCTAGTGAGACCGCATCTAGAGTATTGTGGCAGTTTTGGTTTCCTTATTTAAGAAAGGATGTACTCGCCTTGGAGGGGGTAGATTCACTAGGTTGGTACCTGGGATAAGGGGGATGAGTTATGAGGATAGGTTGAGCAATTTAGGCCTATATTCTCTAGAATATAGAAGAATTAGTGGTGATCTTATAGAAACCTATAAGATTATAAAGGGGCACGACAGAATAGATAGCGGGAGACTTTTTCCCCTGGTTGGAGAAACTATAACCAGGGGTCACAATCTTAAAATTAGGGGTAAGCCCTTTCGCACTGAGTTGAGGAAAAACATCTTCACTCAGAGGGTAGTGAATTTATGGAATTCTCTACCCCAAAGGGCTGTGGATGCTCAGTCCTTGAACA